TATATATATATATATATATATATATATTGCAGCAGCAGCAGCAGCAGCAGCACTAACAGTACTAGGAACAGCAGCATGACCAGCAGCAGCAGCACCGGCACCTGTAGCAGCAGCAGCAGCAAGAACAGCAGCACCACCAGCACCAGCACCAGCACCAGCACCAGCGCCAGCACCAACACCAGCACCAACACCAACACAAGCAGCAGCAGCAGCACCGGCAGCAGCAGCAGCAGCAGCAGCAGCAGAGCTGTGAGTGTTTGCTGCTGCAGGCAATGAATGAAGGTCGAGGCTCAACACCCCACACTGCTCGCTTCTTAGCCTGGAGATACGGCCTGGGGGGGCAGACAAACGCAACCCTAGCAGGTGCACATACACCTTGTCTTGCTGCTGTCTTTGTCTTTGTCTTTGTCTTTTTATTTTTTTTTTTGCTGTCTTTGTCTTTGTCTTTGTCTCTATTTTATTGCTGTCTTTGTCTTTGTCTTTTTATTTTAATGCTGTCTTTGTTTTTGTCTTTGTCTTTGTCTTTTTATTTTTATTTTGTTTCTGTCTTTGTCTTTGTCTTTTTATTTTATTGCTGTCTTTGTCTTTGTTCTGCTGCTGTTACTGCTGCTGCTACTGCTGCTCCTACTGCTGCTGCTGCCACTTCTACTGCTGCTGCTGCTGCTATTCCTATACTGCTGCTCTTGCTGCTGCTGCTGCTGCTGCTGCTGCTGCTGCTGCAGGAGAGGCGCTGCGAACAGCAGCAGATTTGGGTGACAGCAACGCGCAGGTGTTGTATGCTGCTGCTCATCTTGCTGCTCTAGGCCCGCATTCAGCAGCAGCAGCAGCAGCAGCAGCAGCAGCAGAAGCAGCAGCAGGAGGTGGAGGAGGAGCATCTTCTCCTGGAGGCATTTCTTTTGCAGCTGGCAGCAGCAGCAGCAGCTCTGCTGCAGCAGCAGCAGCAGCAGCAGCAGGAGCAGCAGCAGGAGAAGGGGGGCGAGGCCCAATGCTAGCAGCGGGAAACACAACCGAAGCACTAATATATTTTGCTGCTGCTGCTGCTGCTGGCCATCCCCAGGCTCAATTCACCTCCGCGCTGCTGCTGCTGCAGGGGGCCTCTCCTCTACATAAAACAACAAAAGACAGATGCAAGACAGCTTATAAAGTTTGTCTCTTTCTTTCTCTTTCTGTCTCCTTTTTTCTTTCTCTGTCTCCTTTCTTTTTCTGTCTCCTTTCTTTCTTTATTTGTCTCCTTTCTTTCTTTTCTCTGTCTCTTTATTTGTCTCTTTCTTTCTCTTTCTGTCTCCTTTTTTCTTTTTTTCTGTCTCTTTCTTTCTTTTTCTTTCTCTTTCTTTGTCTATCTTTCTTTTTCTGTCTCCTTCTTTCTTTCTTTTTCTCCTTTCTTTCTTTTCTGTCTCCTTTCTTTCTTTTTCTGTCTCCTTCTTTCTTTTTTTCTGTCTCCTTTCTTTCTTTTTCT